TGTGTGTGTGTGTGTGTGCGTGTGCGTGTGTGTGTGTGTGTGGTTACTGGGGTGTTACATGTGTTCATGTGTTTCACTGTTAGTGCTTTCAGGGAGTTTGAGACCTGCTCTCTGATTGGTGGGCTGACAGCACCCCTCATTAATCACAGACTGAGCTTCCAGTTACTGCAGGTAATCAGAGTAAAAGTGAGCGCGCTCAGATCGGGCTGAGCACCAGCTGCTGTTTCTCTCATGTGAGAGGGACGGACAAAATATTAGAAACAGCAGGCCGTGCGATGCTGTTTATCAGGAGAAGCGCCGATCGCAGCCTGCACGACGCAGGATTGAGCGCAGACGCTTTCACTCGTGGATCGCGTGCACACCTTTGATGGGGACTGTCTGACCGGACTGTTGGCGATTTCAAAATGAGCAGCCTGAGTAAACATCACTCCATGTTTTATCTGCCCGCGGTGGATGATGGCTGAACCAGGAACGCTATAAATGCTAAAAATAAACACTGCCAGGATAAACTGAGGTATGTGGGATCCCACGAAGCTTCCAGGGAAGCCTCTAAACCTTTACTTTAAAATGCTCTGCTGCATTTGAAATGTCCCCCATCACACAGGCTCCACCCACCTGCCACAGACCAAGAGATAAACCAAACCGCAGCATTATTTTAACCCTGGACGCCTGAAATTTCTACATGTGTGGCCTCCTTTGTGTTTGTGATCAGCCAGGCATCGCAGCTGTGTGTGTGTGTGTGTGTGTGTGTGTGTGTGTGCGCGTGTGTGTGTGTGCGCGTGTGTGTGTGTGTGCATGCATGTGTGTGTGCGTGTGTGTCCTCCTCAGGTTTCAGCAGGATAAAGAGAGTCACTCATTGTAGCTGTCAGTGCGTCAGCTTCAGCTCAGGAAGCGTCTCAGTCTCAGTTTCTCGGTGTTGTGAGTTTTGCAGAGGAGGCGGCGGTGAGACGAAGAATAAAGTTTGTTAACAGCGAGAGAAGAAGAAGAAGAAGAAGAAGAAGAGAGGAGGATCCAGTGATACAGGAACGTGGAGGTAAAAATAAAAAGCTCCAAAGAGAGAGAAGTGAAATAAAAAGCAACTTGAGCCCTGATTAAATCCATGGTTTGGGTTAAATGGTGTTTCCGCTGAGACAGACGGCAGACAGAGGGACAGAGGGACAGAGGGACGAGGCTTCGCAGGAAACCAGCTGGATCCGTCTGGCTGTTCCTCCGGCTGCACAGGTGAATCATGGGAAATACAATTATGGGAACTGTAGGCCTGCGCAGAGAAAGAGAAGATGGCGTTAGCAGGAATTCTGATCTCCAGCCTTCAAATTCAAAGACAAACATGGAAGCCTGTTAGCACGAGGAGCTGGACTACGACAGACACAAATACAACAGGTCACGTCCCCAAGTTCACCAACATCCTCCACACAGGGGGTCATGTGACTGTGGGGATTCAGTCACCGTGCAACAATAATAATAATAATAATAATAATAATAATAATAACAATAATAATATCACATCTTCATTTCCTGTTTTGAACAGCGGTCAGCCTCCAATCAAAGCTGAGCTCTGCTGATCTTCAGCTCTCAGCAGTCCTGCTCTCCATTTGATT